CCGCAAAAAAAAAAAAAAAATAGCAAGTTTGATTAAATTCTCACTTGCCGAATATAATTTAGACCTTTAATCTGTAGACCTAAACCATCAGCCCCTGGTACAAGTATTCACATAAGAAGCATAAAAGACAGAAAATGGTGGGGGTGGGAGGGAGAGGAAGCACACTTATTAATGCTGTGGCTTCGTAGAAAGCGCTGTATTGAGTCCTTTGACTACGCTGTCTTCATTTAGCCCTTTGTCTTCAATAATTCTTTGTGTGGCTATTATTACCCTGTTTTCCTGAACAGAAAGTTGAGAGTTTGAAGTTAAATAACTTTCACTTAGCTGGTAAGCAATCAACTTAGTACATTTGAGGGATGGATATATGAAGGAGGAAGGCGTTTTTATTTCTAACAATTCCATAACTAGTTTAATTGCTATTATTTTATTAAGTTGAATGATACAAAGTTGCCAATACTCAACTGTTTTTGATCAATAAAATTTCACAATTTAAGAATTAGTATTAGCACTAGTATCAGGCTTTTCCTCTTCCCAAGTTCCATCCCAATGCCCATCCCATTAAAATCAAATATTTACCCTACAAGAGCACAAGTATTCATAATTTGTCTTTCTGTCAACATTTCAAAGGCTGAACTTGTTGATACATATCTTTTTTTTTTTTTGCGGTATGCGGGCCTCTCACTGTTGTGGCCTCTCCCGCCGCGGAGCACAGGCTCCGGATGCACAGGCCCAGCGGCCATGGCTCATGGGCCCAGCCGCTCCGCGGCGTGTGGGATCCTCCCAGACCGGGGCACGAACCCCTGTCCCCTGCATCGGCAGGCGGACCCTCAACCACTGCGCCACCAGGGAAGCCCGATACATATCTTTTAAGAAGTTAATTGACATCTGTTTGAAACCTTCCTGAATAAGATACAATTAATGCCAGCCATAAAGGAAAAAGATGTTTTTAACTTTATAAATGACATTAAACCTCTGAAAATACCCAGGGATAGTCTACCTAAGGTGCACTATAACTTTACATTCTAGAATTTCTCCAGTAGTTAAATCTTAATTTGTGGTGTTTTAAAGGAAGGTTTTAATTGGTGTCACTTTACATCCAGTGATAACAATTGTACTGCAATTTAACTAAGCTACATGGTTTATTTTCATGTAATTACACATTAATGTTATTTAATCCGTGCACTTACCTACCAAAACCACAGATTCCACAACTTAACTGGTAATGGGTAGTTACGTGGATCAAGAGTTTTAACAACAAAAGGTTACTTAGTAGTTTCTGTTCTTCACATTAGAAGTCATGAGTTGGCTATTTGCCAGGAGCCTCTTACAATGGAATCGATGCCATATAAAAGTATCACAGTAATTGTATAGATGTCAAAATGTCACAGAACTCACAAAAACTTCAATGCCAGACTAATTACTAATGATTTCTTAAATCTGGAAATGAATTAGCTAATTCTTCAACATTGGCTTCCATGGCATATGACATCTTTATTTTGATTTCTTA